ATCGCTAGATCATAAATAGGACTTTGGTAGTATAAGGTGAGTTACTTACAAATATATGAGTAGTGAGTTCGAAATAGAGTTGATCCTTAAAATGTATGAAACCTTGACAAGTTTGAAATTGCAAGGCTAGGCGCGAAATTCACTAATATCATGTGGACTACTTTAAGGATTGTGGTAAAATGCAGCATGAATAATTCATTGTAATTGACTAATGGGATTACGTATTAGAAATGCAATAAAAGTAGGTAAATTCATGCATTGTAATAACAAATACTTGTGTGTCGCATAACAAATTCCAATATAAGACATGTGATTTGGTAGAGGCTTAGCAGAATTTGCAAGTTATATCTGCACTTGACAATGGGAGGCCAGGTTAAGTTTAATTGAAACGTGAGGTCTATTCATATCATTGTGGGAGAGTTCACCTCTCGGTCTTGCATCAATTTATGTGAACTAGGCTAAATAAAGATTTTATTTATGAAAGGCAAAAATAAATAAACATTAATTTTGAATTATAATCTACCACGTCATACGACGGTTGAAGGATTAGCATGCTATCACGGGAATCGAAGGAAATCGCCTCGGAAACAACATCAACAAGAATGTTCCAATAAAGCCAATCGACAGCTGGTCAAGAGGAATGTTCCATCGTCTTCTGGTTGTATCCAATTTAGAATCTCTTCACCAAACACTTTCACTCGAAATAGAAGTGAGCACAACCAGTATAAATCAGGAGATACTTCAAAACACAACTTTTTCCCAGAGCAATTGAACTTACCTCACTTTCCATCTCTATTCATCGTTTAACCCACACTCTGACACATGCTGACGCCACACTTGGGTGTTATGACGACAATAGGTTACTTCCTTCCGGCTACATCCCTTCTAGCCCATCAAGTTAACTAAAAGGTGTGCTTTTTTTCACAACATGCATCTTCCGAATGAAGAAAAAGGGTCCAGGGTCCAGCAGTGTGAATATGACGTAAGCCCAACATCTATGAAACAGGTGATTTTCAGAAACTCAACTTTTATCCACATATATGAAAATCTTTTCGAAGGAAAAATTAATTGAAATTCAATAATTATGGGAAAAACTCGCATATAACAAACGAGGTTGACTAGGTTATAATCGACGAAATACTGAAAAATGTACTTGTGAAAGGAAAGAGAAGTAATGTAGTTGATTGCTATAACAAAAGCAACTTCGCGTCATCAAAATTCCCACCACACAATGTGATATGGGAAAATGCCCAGCATACCTTTTAAATTCACATGTGCCATGTTGCTCTAATGTACTCTTGGCAGTGCGGCGTAGTGGTTAACTTGTCGAGATTATACTCTGCTCTATCACGACCAACAGGTTCGAACCCCGCTGGAGGTGCTGATAAGACTAGTTCAGGAGAGGTCGAAATTGCAGTCGGGATAAGAATATCCTTTTTGACAGAAACGTAAAGTCTACTCAATTCATAGAAGTGGGTTTTCCGCGTTTTCGTAACTTGCTCTTGTTGCCAGGGCGACTTAGTTGAATGCACCTTATCCGAAGTCTTCAGCCATAGTAGTTGTCC